AATGTCTCTTCCTTTCCCATCTCATACAACACTGTACTGCTTTAAGGCAACCTGCCTTCCCCTTTGGTGCTCAGACAATAAATAAACACAGACTCTATGGAAGCATTCTGACTCATCAGCAACCCCCTTTTAAAACTTACAAGTAATTCCCTTAGCATGGAGACAAAGAAAGGCTTACCGTATATCCCTGTGGCTCAGGGAGATGCCTTGGCCACAGCTTTCACCCTTAATGCTGACAGGGTGTGAGCACCCATCACTGCAAACACTGTGAGGTGATATGTCTGGTCCTATGGAGAGATACTATCTCTTCTCCTTCTGGAACTGACCCTGCAGTATCTCCATGGGCAGAAATGTCCCATCTTTACATAGTGACAACTTATCCTTGGGTGGGAGTGCATCTTTCATGAGGAAGATTCCAGAGAACCAATAATGCCTGTTCTTTCTGCAAGTGGATGCAGCAAGTCCTTCTCACACTAGAGGTAGAGCAGGACAGTGAAAAGGAATCGCTGAAGCTGGCATGAAATGCCCACCCTTGGATGTTCTTTCTCCATGGTTTCCTAATTTACCTCAGGGTTGCTCTTGCTGTCTCCAGATGTCCAAGGAAGGGAAGCCCACCTTGGTTTTGACAAAGGCAATTTTTTTTCTCAGTAGAGAGATACATTTTAGTTTTGGTTTTGTTTGGTTTTTGTTTTTTGTTGTTTTGTTTTGGTTTTTTTGTTTTTGTTTTTGTTTTTGTTTTTGTTCGTTTGATTGTTTTGGTTTTTTGAGACAGGGTTTATCTGTATTGTTTTGGAGCCTGTCCTGGAACTTGCTCTGTAGACCAGGCTGGCCTCGAACTCACAGAGATCTGACTGCCTCTGGCTCCCGAGTGCTGGGATTAAAGGTGTGTGCCACCAAGCGAGGCTATGTTTTAGTTTCACATGAAGAAAGTCAAACAAATTTGAGATTGGTAAGTGGAAAAAAGCTATAAAAAGGAAGGCAGACAATAAGTAGTCACTACTCCAACTGAGCAAAGATTGTGGCTTGAAAGATTGGAAATGTTGAAATGTAAACGTTTCTGTGCAGTTGATGCAGTGTGGGGCTGGAATACAGGGGTCATCTAGTCTCCTGTCCACACCAGTGACTCATCCTTTTGTGTTTAACCTCTTTTCCTTACAAGCCCTTCACCTCAGAGAGGGGGTTCTGAGTGAAGACTCCCTCCCTGTTTCAGTGGATACTGAGAAACTATTAAACAGTGGGAAAGCCTCACTGTTCTAATTATTATACCTTCCTTTGTTCCGTAGGTACAGATGTTCAATACAGTGCACATAAGATTTTCTCAGTAACATTAGTTTCCGTAGCTCTAAACTCTTGATCAGTTTGCACACCGTTATGAGGTTCTGACTGGTTGTGCGCTAGGAGGGTCTGGGCTAGAATTCAGGCATTTATACTTCTGCTGAATTATTCCAGAGCCTCGACAGAGTTGCTTGTAGATGGGATTTATTTCTTCATATTTAAAAAACCCATTTAGGAATGATCTACAAAGTGAAAGTGAGAAGGAGTAGAAATTATTTTTTAGTGAAGATTTTGGTCCACAAGTCATCAAGTGGCAGTGGACTCACCAGTTTCTTAGGCTGGCAATTGTCATTTGTTCAGAGGAGGGGAGGGAAAGAGAGAGGGAGGGAGGGAGAGAAAGAGAGTTTGTTAAGAAACTCAAGGTAGACTTCCATCATATTAATGAGGGACATGCCTATTGGCCAGTTTCTTGATTGAGGATTGATGTGGGAGTTCCCAGCCACTGTGGGTAGTACCATCCCTGAACAGGTGGTCTTGGGTTGCATAATAATGTAAATAATGTAACTATGGGGAACAAGCCAGTAAGCAGGACTCTCCCCTTGTTTTTCAACTGAGACTTCCTCTACCAAGAGGAACCTAATTTGTATCTTGTTGACATAAAATAACCAGCACAACACATATGGAAACTAGCCAACATCATAACATAACTGAGGCTACAGCATAAAGAACACAGTGCTAAGGACAAATGCATCTTATATTGAGGTCCTTAGTACACATGGACTAGATTTTTGTGAGCAGTGAGAGATGAGAATATAACTTTGTTCTTCTACATATAGCTCTCCAATTTCCCAGCACTGTGAGTTGAAGATGTTCATTTCATTGTTTTGTGTGTCTTTGTGGAAAATCAGATGGTTGTAGTTGTATGTCCTTGTAACTGGGTTCTCTGCTCTATAGCAGAGATCTGTGACTCTGCTTTTGTGTCAGTGCCATGCTGTTTTTATTACTATGTCTCTGTAGTGTAACTTGAAAACAGATTTGTCAATACCTCCAACAATATGCTTTTTATACAGGTTTGCTTTGGCTGTCAAGGCTTCCCTGTGCTTCCATAGGAATTGTAGGATGTTTTTCTGTCTCTGTGAAGAAAGACATTAGAATTTTCACTGGGATTCCATTGACTCTGTAGATTGCTTCCAATAAAAGTGCCATTTTCACAATATTGCTTCTTCTAATCCATAATCATGGAGAAATTGTTCCATCTATCAGGGTCTTCTTCAATGTCTTTCTCAAATGTTTTAGTTTCATATCCTTGGTTAGAGTCATTCCATAGAATTTCTTTTCCTGCATTTCTTCTTTTTTAAAGGCAATTATGATGGGATTGTTTCCCAATTTATTTTATCTTTCCACTTTGCTGATAATTTCTCTCAGGGTGAACTTTGTTGTAATCAAACTTCAGTTTTTTATTGGAACCTTATGAGGTGAGGGTAAACATTGATTGGTCCTCCCAAAAATAGAAAATTGTTGTAACAAAGCCATACACAAAAAAGTAAAAGTAAATGCATAAAACCCATATTAAAAGCTGTAAGAAAAAGCTAAATTCAAAAGGGCAAACATATCAAAATTACATCAAGTCTCTCATTATCAACCATAAATGACAGAAAATGTGGAATGATGTACTTCAAACACTAACTGTAAATAATTGCCACTTAATATTGCTATATCCACAAAGCTATCTTTTAAATTTGGCAGAAAATTAAAAACATTTTAAGACAAGCACAAACTCTGACAGTGAAAATAGATTTACCACAAGAGCCAGCTGTGTCTCTCAAAGAAATATTCACAAGAATTATGTATCCAACTACAGAGCTACTTGTGAATCCAGGTTCATTCATGCTCTATCCAAAATACCCATGAAAATGGGAACAGTCTAGACAGCCATCAACTGAGGAAAGGATAATGACAGTGTGGCACCACTGTAGAATGGAATATTTCTCATCAGTTAAGCAAAATGAAACTACAAATATGGGAAAATGGATGGAGCTGGAAACATGATTCTGATGCAGGTAACACAGACTCCAAAAGAAGAACATCACTTTGTTCCTCTCATTGTAGATTTTAGAGGTCACTATTCAAATATCTGTGTTCCATTTGGATTACCCACAGAGGTTTAAAATTACCATGTGGCCAAGATAGGAGAAATAGTACACAGTGGTAGAAAGGGTTAAAGAATATTATGACTGATGAAAGGTTAAAATGGAGAGTGAGGGGATAGAGGATAAGGAAGAGGAAGAAAAATGGGAGGAGTAAAGAACACTGAAGGATTTTCAGCAAGTCATGTGGAAATCTACCACTGAGACATTTCTTAAAATAAGCTATGTGATATATAGAAGGAGGTGAGATGGAGTTGCCCTCTACTAGGAAAACAATATCCCTCCTAGACAGCAAAGGGTGACAAATTAAAAGCCCAGTCCCAGGAATTTGCTTGATTTTTTGAGGTGTTATCCAGTGAGGTCCCTAAACATTACAAGTCATTGTCAGTGCTCTTGTCTACTGTCCAGAACATGATGGTGATAATCTATTAGTGAAGACACCATATATTTGAGTTAGAGAACCTGGAGAGATCTAGCTGATGCTGGTCAGAAGCTTCATCCCTACTGGCTAGCTTTTATAGTGCTGGAAAGTTCTATCCACAATACCGGGGTGGGGAGTGATCATTAATCATAATGAGCTGTGAACTCTGTGAGCTATAATAATGACTGACCAGACAAGATAAACTTACCAGAGTAATGGTGGCAAAAAACGTCTTGGGAGTAAACAATTGCATGCTGGTCAGATTTAATAGTCACTGCACAGGATGAAACCTGTGCAAGAACCTAAGGCTAGACAGATCATAGTCCTGGGTGAGAATTATTATTATCCTGCTAAATGGACATAATATTTAGCCATTTCCTAATGAGCTATAATTATACCCATAAAATAAAGCATCTCTCAACCCCTATCATGGAAGCTGGTGTTTGCAGTAGATGATCATCAGTCCAGAGACACACAACTGGCAAACAAGCAGATACTAGGACATGGAGGAGTATCTAGGTCTAAATTGAATATATTACTTCTACCTCCAAAGGCACAAGAATGGTTGTGGAAGAGGGGCTGAACAGACTGTCGCAGCCAGAGTTGGTGGAGGATGGCAGGGAAACGGTGTCTTCTGGACACAAAAGGGCAGTTCCACACAGAACACACCATGGTTGTGACAGCATGTGTAAGACCTGTCAAACCCAAGCTCAACTGAAAACCAGCATAGACAGAGGAGTTGAGAATGACAAGAATTAATGAACATGAGTTTACAACCATGAGAAAATTAGGTTGTGTTCAGAGAGAAGTAAAATGAGTTGTGTCTTGGATGAGACTAAATTTGGCATCTGCACTGTACCCCAGACAATGTGTTGTGTGGTTGTTTAGCCAGCATTTGTGAAGTTGCTGATCAGAAAAATTATCATTCACGAATTATATTCCTGCCTATCTAGTAAGCTGCTCCTCTGTGTTCCCCCTCAGTTTCCAAACTCCACATTCCACATACTTGATGATTTCAGGACTGTCCAGCATTTGCTGAAAAGAAATGAGATACTAGAATGAGAAGTAACTGATAGTTTCATTTTCTCTTTCTTTTTCTTGGAAATGCAAGAGATTCTGAAAAACAACAAGATTCATAAGCATTAATGATTGGCCAACACACACATAGAAGTAAGGGGCAGCAGTCAAAGAGTGTATAAATTCTGCCCAACTGCCTTGAACCTGCTGCTTTTCCACGAAGAAGCAGAAGTGGGTTGCAAGTGAAGAGACTGAAGCACACAAGAGCATAGTTCCTGCAGCTAAACTTCAGTGAACACATACACCAAACACAGGATAATCTGGTAAGGAGCAGGAGCATTAAGATCTAAATTCTAACCCTCACAAACTGTTTTCTCATGAAAGGTGAGAGGTAGCAAGACATTTAAGAACATGCCCTGAGAGTGGGGATACTAAGATTGGAAGCTCTGGAGCTTTGGTGGGAGGCAGGCTTGTAGATGGTCTTAGCCAATTATCCAAGATGAGGTAGACCTAAAGTCAAATGATGCTGATATTGGTTTTGGCAAAACACATCTAGTTGTTTTGTCTTGTCTCTCCCTAAAATGATTGTGAATAGATGACTCAAGTAATGGAGTATCTCTGCAATGTGTGTGAGGTTTGTTGTATATTATCTCAAATTGCTACTTAGTTCAGAGTCACTTGCTCAATTACTTACATCCTGAGGCCTCTGGCCTGTGGAAAGAAGTCTCTCTGCATGCTGCTTCTGCTGTCTCAGGCTGTGGGAACCTGTGTCTGAAGAATGTTCTTCACTGTGGTTTTCTTTACTGTAAAGTAGGAGCTAAGGATCTTCTCTTCATCTGTGAGGAGCATAAGCTGTGTCAGGATGTGGTGACAGTTGTCATTCACGCAGGTTTCCTTTTGTAACACTTGCTGTGTCACAGCCTTTTCCTTCCCTGTGTTCATATTCAGTGGAAAGACCTTGCAGATGACTGTCTCACTGGAGTCTGCATCACAAATCCAGGACCTAGAACTGAAAGAAGAATAGGAAAACTAAAAAGATAAGAACAACATTTGTGCTTTCAGGGAAATAGTGTCTGTGTTCTGTGTGTGACTGTCCCCTTCAACAGGAAATCTGGCTAGAGTTTATTCAACCAGGTTTAGCTTCTCTAGCTTCCCTTTTAGGACATCTTCTTTACCCACCCCTTTCTGTCCTGTGTCTGCAGTCAGTTTGAACAAAGTTCTGCGGTTCTGCTTTCCTGCACAGCTGTCCCCATCTGTCCTGTAGATTGGACAGGTGTTCCCTGTGCAGGGACTCTATATGTTCTTGTGCTAATTCACAGTAGGATTCTAAGGACATTCCTCTGTTGTATTAGTAAGCTTTTGTGCTCTCCCCAGACTCTTGGTACTCACTGTTTTATGAATGTAGTAAGACTTCAGTTTCCCACTGAGCAGTTAGAACTATACAATAGGCACAAATGTTCACAATAAAATCCAAGTGCTTTCCTCATAGCCCTCATTCATTGCCTAATGATATATCTCTGTGTTAGTGGTGAAGAAGGGTGTGAGACAAATGCACTTTCTGTTACCTGAGGTTCATTATACTGTGGAAGGATGACAAAAAACGAACCTAGAAAAGTACACATTGTGTTGCAGCAAGTGCTGTGGAGAAACTGAAACATAACAAAAGGATGGTGAATGATGGAGGCAGGTACATATTTACACCCCAATGTGAATATAAATCATAAAGCCAGCCTAATTTAAGCAGAGCCTAGAGAGGGTTGATTAATAGCCATATGGCTACTGGGTAGAGCACAAAGTTATGGAAGTCGTCACTAAGTACAATGTCCTGAGATGAGAAGACAGCCTGAGATATCAGGGAGGCGAGAATTCAGACACCATCAGCTTCAAACATGTAATAATCAAGTTCAAAGGTTTATTGTCTGTAGTATGTATACTGTATACCTAATGAATGTTCCCTGAATGAAACCGGAATCCTTGTGGTACCTCTCAGGATTGACTTGACATGATATGACTTCAGTGTCATAACTGTGGTTATTTGATCATCCATACTGCTTTAAGAACAGACACAAAAACTATAGTACTGCCCATGGCATAATCAAAGCTGGAATTGAGGAGCTCTGTGAACTGATTTGATATGGGTAAAACAGAAAGAGGAGGCTCCTGGGTGACGGTGGGGATTTCCTGTCTCCCTAATTGTGCTGCCTAGTGAGGACTTGGAGGCAGGTTTGTGGAGAACAAAGGGCAGAACTATGAGATCTGAGCTAAGTAGCCAACAATTAAACTCAGGTCCTAAACAGAAAGAGGAGGCTCCTGGGTGACGGTGGGGATTTCCTGTCTCCCTAATTGTGCTGCCTAGTGAGGACTTGGAGGCAGGTTTGTGGAGAACAAAGGGCAGAACTATGAGATCTGAGCTAAGTAGCCAACAATTAAACTCAGGTCCTAAACCTGTCAAGTGTACTTACCAGCTGAGTAATCTTACTGAACTAAATCATTTTTTTTTTTTTGACACAGGGTCTCAAGTAGTCCAGGCTAGCCTCTAACTCACTGTGTACCAAGGATGACCTAGAAGTACTGATCCTCTTAGCTCTACTTTCCCACTACCAAAATTAAAGGGATCCATAGGTGTCTGCATTTGATGAGATGTTGGGGATTGAACCCAAGGCCTTATTCATGTTAGGAAAGCTCTCTACCAACTGACCAATGTCTCCAGTGCACAGTTAGATTGCTTTCATAAAATAAAATATTTAAAAGAAAATAATGAGTCTAAATAATTACTTGAGAACACTGAAATGTTGTATTGAAGAAATGGATTTGAACATGGACATTAAGGGTAAAGAACTTTTATATTATTGCATGGTCATGGAGATGAGCTGCACCTCATGAAAAGGACATAAGGAAAGTAAATCTAGGGCTTGGTCCTGGTTAAGCCCTGCTTCTAGAGTCACAAAGCTGGTTGGCAGGGGGTCCCCAGCCGCCCAGCTGCAAGGAGGCCCGCTCAGGGGAAGGCTGCTTTCTGGGAGATGTGGGTATGTGCTTTGCACCGCAGAGGCCAAGGGTACCACACAGGGGCTGGAGCAAGGACCAGGAGATCAGTTCTTGGGGACAGAGTAAGCTCATGGATGTTCTTTATCTCGGAGATGGGCAGCTCCCTCCGCTCCGAGTTGGAGGGGTGGGATGTGGTGACTCGAGCAGGGTCAGGTGATCCTGAGCATCTCAGATCGGCGTTTAATGTCTGTCACCTTGTTCCAGGCCGGTGCACCATGGGGCTGGTCATCCCTGTGTTGCACCAGGTGTGAGATTCAGAATCCCCACTTCATCCGAGCACTGCACACTTTGGGGATCACACGGGGTCGTTGCCCAGTTCAGTGGAGAGCCTAGGAAATGTGTGTGCACTGGGCACATTGGTTTATCGCTAACTGCGGGTGCTGCACCACCTTCTGGGTGCTTGATGTAGTATATTACGAGGAGGGTCACAGTGTATCGCGTGCAGGGTCCCACCATTCTACCCATACTCCAGCTGCCTCCAAGGAATATGCTCCAGAATGAGAACAAGGCCCAACAGTGTGGCATGCCTGGCGCTCTCCACCTTTAGGACAGTCTTAGAGTGGAATGGATTTAAAGGCGCAGGAACATTCTTAGGAGAAGTAGATTTTTCTTGCTTACAAAATAATACTATAAACGAAAATTGAAAGCTTGGAAAGTAAACAAAACAAAACAAAAACAAAGCTAACCAAACCAAACTGCCCACCCTGCCCCAGCATTTTTACACTAGTAAAAACAGTAATGTAAAGAAAATAAAAAGTCTTAAGAGTTAATTTAGCTGGGAAGGAAATTGCAGTCATAGCAAGGCAGATAAAATATTTTAATTGATTTTTGCAAGACAAACACCTTCAGAATGATCAAAAACCATTTGATGAGCATCTGTTTTTCTTGGCATCCTAGGCTGCTCTAAGACTTTGACCCTGGTAGCGTACTCAGTATTTGATTCAAGTGAGTATTCAATGGATGGCTAACAACAGAAAGCCTGTTAAGCATACATTTTATTTTGTTCAGGTAGAGGATAGTATGGCATCAGAGTCAGACATAGTGGCAATCGCTTGGAATTCTAGCCCTTGGAAAGCAGAGGAAGTTAGGGGCTTGAGTTCCAGGCCAACCTAGGCTGCATGGCAAGACCTTGTCTCTAAATAAATAAATATTTTAATAACATCACTCCCAAGTATATTTTCTGCATAGCCTGTAGAGAAGAAAAATCACACTCTCAATTAGTGGGTGCATACATGTTGGGATTCTTGATTTTTTTTTCCTTTGAGACAGGGCTTCATTGTGTGGGCCTAGCTATACTGGAACTCACTCTGTAGACCAGGCTGGTCTGGAACTCCGAGACCCACCTGCCTCTGCTTCCCTAGTGCTGGGGTTAAAGGCATGCAGCACCACTGCCCAGCATGCACCACTACTGCCCTGAATATTTTTGACATTGTCATTTAAAAATTTAAATATGCTTCTCCAAAAATATGTCTTGTGTATATTTGTATTTCTGGCCTAAATGAATAAACTGAATATATTAGATACAAAAAAAGTAAGTAAGTAAATCTAGGCAAATACAGAATTATTTCAACAAAACTTACTGAAATATTTTGAAAACAAAAATAAAACATACTAGATTTATGTGATCATGAGAGATTTGGCATTGATTAAACACTGATGTCAAGTATCATTCGTTATTATATAATTTTCAATGTGTAAAACTAGGCATATGTTGACTAAGTTTCCATCCATTTGAAGGCACACACTTAAGGAAGTATGCACAGATGGAGAAGACACTTGATTTCATATGTAATACTCTAAGAAGGTTAGATGCAACATAGTTGCTCATGTTTTTATAGTTGCTGATACTGGCTAAAAGACTCATACAGATTTTTTTATATTATTTCCCTTGCTTTACTTTCATTTTCCGTAATGAAAGGTTTATTTGAGAGCTATTAGAAATTTGCTCTAGTTTGCTTTCTATTGCTTTTATAAACACCATGACCAAAAGCATTTTGAAGAGAAAACAGTTTTGTGGGTTTACATAATCTGATCACAGTCCATCACTGGGGGAATCAGGGCAGAAACTCTGAAGGAATAGAGGCAGGAACAATGGGAGAATGCTGTTTACTGTGTTGCTCCACATAGTTCAATGTTGTGGAAGAATGTTTTGTAAAATATGAAGATGTGTCATTGCAAGGCACCTTGTGATGGGTTTAATAAAAAGTTAAATGGCCATTATGCATGCAGGAGAGATAGGCAGGACAGCCAGACAAAGAACTCTGGGAGGAAGAAAAGCAGAGACACCTGCAGTCAAAGGAAGTATCGGTTCAGTACAGAGTAAAGGTAATTGAGCAATGTAAAAGAATGTAAATAGAAAATCTGGGTTAACTTAATTTATAAGAGCTAGTTATAAACAAGCCTAAGCGATTGGTTGAGCTTTTATAATTAATAATAAGTCTTCATGTCATAATTGTGGAGCTGACAGTCCCAATGAAAAAAGTTTAACTAAAGTTCAATACTACTTTCTTAAATTACCCAGGACCACCTGCCCAGGGGCATGCCACTCACAATGGACTGGGACCTCCCACATCAATCATCAATATAGAAAATGCCCCATAGGCATTTCCTCAGTCCAATCTGGTGAAGGCAGTTCCTCAGATGGGGATTTTTCTCCATAAGGACTATAGTTTATATCTTGTTAACAAAAAAAAGCATACATACATGGTAACTAGTCAACATCAGAACATAACTGAGGCTGCAACATAGAGAACGCAATGTTAAGCACAAAGGCATCTTCAATCTCTTGCAACCCTCTCTCCCTTCCTTCTTTCAGGGCACTCTTCCAACACAGCCATGGGTCAGGCCTTCTCTGATACAGCTAAGAAAGAAGACAGTGGAGATTTGGAGTCCAGCTTCACTGATTATTTTAAGAAGATTAAGACAGAAAACAAAATCATTCCTCGGGAAACCATCCGTTCAATTGAGTTACACCTGACAAAAGGAGACATTCGGGCGGCAAAGTCTGCAATCACTGATGCATTAAAAAATATTGATGACATCCCAATAAACATTGCTGTGACAGGAGAGTCTGGAGCAGGGAAGTCCAGCTTCATCAATGCCCTGAGAGGGGTTGGGCATGAAGATAAAGGTGCAGCTAAAGTTGGAGTAGTAGAGACAACTATGAAGAGAACTCCATACAAACACCCCAAAATTAAAACTTTGACTTTGTGGGACCTGCCTGGCATTGGAACTATGAAGTTTCCACCAAAAGATTATCTGGAGAAAGTGAAATTCCAAGAGTATGACTTCTTCGTTCTTCTTTCTGCCACACGTTTTACAAAACTTGAACTAGACCTTGCCAAAGCAATCAGATTTATGAAAAAGAATTACTACTTGGTGAGAACCAAGATAGATGTTGATTTAGAAAATGAAAAAAAAGACAAGCCACACACATTTGACAGAAAGGAGATCCTGCAGAAGATGGAAAACTACTATATAAATACCTTAAAGACAAATGGCATGGATGCACCACAGATTTTTTTCATTTCTAATAATAATTTATCTGTCTGTGATTTTCCACGCCTGATGAAGACCCTGGTAAAGGATCTTCCTAATCAAAAGCGCCACAGTTTTGTGCTTTCCTTGTCTAATATTACAGAGGCAGCCATTGACAGAAAGCACAAGTCTATGCAGCAGTATATCTGGATGGAGGCCTTCAAGTCTGGACTTCTGGCTACTCTTCCTGCAGTGGGCATCCTCAGGGATGATGTGGAGAAGCTGAAGGTGAAGCTAAACCACTATCGAGTCCTCTTTGGAGTGGATGATGAATCCCTGGAAGTCATGGCTAAGAATTCCAAAGTACCTGTTGAACAAGTGAAAAAAATCATTAAATCTCCTTATTTGTTGGAAACTAAGAAAATGGAAACTTTAGAGGGAAAGCTTTTGAAATTTGCCTCAGCTTATGGTGGGCTCCTTGCTACAGGTCTTTACTTTCGGAAAACCTTTTACCTTCAGCTTCTTTTCCTTGACACAGTGGCTGAAGATGCCAAGGTTCTCCTCAGAGAGGCATATTCAAAACCTAGTTCAAACTCAACTCACCCACAGCTACTGACCATGGATAAGTGTTACTCTTATCTCATGTCCTTGACAGGATTTGTTGTCATTTGTTTTGTTTTGTTTTATCTTGGCCTTTGGTAATGGAATAAGGTGTAATCTTCAAATAATTTTTAATATTCAGATTATTTCAATTTTACTATAAAAAACACAGATTTGTAAATTTTTAAACAAATAGTTAACTCAACAATAGCCTTTTTATTCAGTTATTTGTGAGGCTAGAGCTCCAACTCAGGCTTTGTACGTGCTAGGCAAGCATTTTGTCACTAAACTACACATCTCATCTTGTGATAGCTTTAAGTTTTAAATAAGACAATAAATCAATAATTTTACTATTGTGGAATTCTGAATTCATATTATTTAATTGTCATATCTGTCCTAACAAAAAATTATAAAATGTGGATTACATATATTCATAATTCGGACAGATAATATAAATGAAATAGGTTCTTCAATGTTCAACATAATCATATGTAGCAAAGCAATAGTCACATATTTTTAAATCCTTAATAGTAATCAGAACTAATGTGACTCCCTTAAGGACATTTGAATTTTTTTCTTTTTTTAATGCATTTATCTTATTTAACTTACAGGTGCATGTGGAGCCCAGAGGACAACTTGTCTAGTTCCACCATGAGGGTTCAGGGCATCTAACTCAGCAACTCAGACTTGTGGCCAGGACCTGCAGAGGCATCTCATACTCAAGCCAGGATGAGCCTAGACAAGGCACTTTGCACAGAGTAAATGCTTTGGCTCCTCAGAGGATGCTGAGCTGACTGTGGAGTGCACAGGACCAGCAGGACTAGGTAGTCTTTTCTCTCAAGTGCATAAAAGGAAGGAGGGACACAGAGCACCCCTCACTGAGAGGCAGACATTAGTTAGGTCTGCAGCCCCTTAGAAGTTTTAATTTGTATATCTCTGGTGGCCAACGATGTTGCACATTTTTTCAAATGCTAACTAGACATTTTTTTTCCTTTTTGAGAATTCTCCATTCAGTTCCATAGCCCATTTTTATTAGTTTGTTTGTTATCTTAGTATTTACTTTTTAAAAATACTTTATACATTCTAGCTAGTCCTCTATCAGATTTATAACTGGCATAGGTTTCTCCCATTCTGTGGGGGTGTTTCTTCTTTGCTTGACAATAGTCTATTTATACAAAATGTTTTTATTACACAAGGTCCCATTTATTGATTATTGCCATTTGCTGAGAATCAGAATTTGATCCAGACAGTCCTTGCCTATTCCCCTGTCATTAAGTGGACTCCCTGCTTTTCCTTATAAATTTGCAGTGTCCAGTCTTATGTTGAGGTCCATGGTCTACTTGGAGTAGAATTTTTTAGTAGATTCTGTTCAGAGTGAGAGACAAGAATTTAATTTTATTGTCTTCCATGTATGTCTGGTTTCCCAGCACTGTGTGTTGAAGATGTTCTTTTCTCCAATTGATTTTTCTTTTGTGTCTTTGTGGAAAATCAGATGATTGTAGTTGTATGTCCTTGTACCTGGGTCCTCTGCTCTATAGCATAGATCTGTGAGTCTGCTTTTGTGTCAGTGCCATGCTGTTTTTATTACTATGTCTCTGTAGTGTAACTTGAAAACAAGTTACAAGTATCAATACCTCCAACAATATGCTTTTTATACAGGATTGCTTTGGCTGTCAAGGCTTCCCTGTGCTTCCATAGGAGTTGTAAGATGTTTTTCTGTCTCTGTGAAGAAAGACATTAGAATTTTCATTGGGATTCCATTGACTCTGTAGATTGCTTCCAATAAAAGTGCCATTTTCACAATATTGCTTCTTCTAATCCATGATCATGGAGAAATTGTTCCATCTCTCAGGGTCTTCTTTAATACCTTTCTCAGATGTTTTACTTTCATTGTAAGGTATTTCATGTCCTCAGTTAGCTTTATTCCATAGAATTTCTTTTCCTTCATTTCTTCT